ATTTAAAAGATTTTAATCAAAAATGGTTTTTTGAGGTGAGAGAGTATTATTCACTTAATGGGCATTTTTTAGTGGGGCTCAATAGGTGAAAGTTTAACTTGGGTATCCATCTGATTTTTATTAACAGGTTTTGTACTCTTCATTTTATTTTTCTGACAGTGCAACAGAGAAACATGTACTTTTGTACTTAGAACTATGGAAAATAACCATGGACAAAATTATCTCTCATTAAAATTATTAATAGAAATAAAAGCTTTAGTGAAACACTTCAGTCCATTCCAGCTACAACAGAAAAATACTACCTCAGTTTTCAGCATTAAGCAGGAAGCTTTTTTTTTTTTTTTAAAGATTTTATTTATTTATTTGAGAGAGAGAGAATGAGAGAGAGAGAGAGCACATGAGAGGGGAGAGGGTCAGAGGGAGAAGCAGACTCCCCGCTGAGCAGGGAGCCCGATGTGGGACTCGATCCAGGGACTCCAGGATCATGACCTGAGCCGAAGGCAGTCTCTTAACCAACTGAGCCACCCAGGCGCCCAAGCAGGAAGCTTTTTATTGCTGAGGAGTAAAATCCATCTGAAATAAAAATGGCATACCATTTTGTGCTACTTTGGTGTCAAATATGCAGCATAATAATGTGTGTCTTACTGGATTGTCAAGATTCCCCCTATATGTTAAAAGCCATACTTCATTTGTAAAAGTGTATAATGTAGCCAACTCTTTTGAAAGTGAATAAACTTTTCTCTCTTCTTTAGTCCTTTTATTGGTAGAGGTTCAAAAATATTTGACCTATGTCTGCTCTTAGGTCTAAGTTTCAACTGTTTATTTTTTAAAATATTTACCATTTTTCTTAATTAAAGTTTTAATATGGGTGGTACATAGAAAGTTTGAAAACCTCATAAAAGTACAAAGGAAAAATAATCCTGAAATCATTCATTTCCTTCATTATCTCTTGGCTCCAACACTAAGTAATTTCAGAGTATTGTCCTTTGATAATTGTTTTGTCTGGTCTCTATTTTCTTATATTTTTCACTCGTCATTCCTCGGTATTTCTATGTTATTATTGCTTATAATATGCTTTCTTGTTTTATCTTATCCTTACAGTGAGATCTTAAGGATGACTGTGTTTCTCCTTGCTATTTATTTACTCAACCTATATTTATTAACACCTGCTGTATGTGAAACACTGCATGGGAATATATGAATCAATGGGCAAAGCTCTTATCCTTACGGAACTTATCAACTAAGGATAAAGTGCTTGAATATGGGGTGTCAACCCACAAGATCGGGAGCCATGCATAATTCACTTTCCTGTCTGTGCAACCCAGCATGGGATTTCTTTTCTTCTGTATCTACAGTAGATATTGGGTGGACGCTTAATGTGATGTATAAATAACTACTGTTGAAAAAGTAGTTGTCTCTTACCTATATGGCCATATTCCTAATTCTAGAGATTGGATAAGTAGGATTCTGCCTACTTTATTGTGAAGTTCTATATTAAGATGTAACATTTGTTTCATGCTTATAACTTAGCAAACTGTTACTCCATTATCTCAGAGGGTTCCTGTGAAGCTCAAGTAAGCAATAAATATACTTTATTTAAAAAGAAGGAAGGTGGTAGTATTATTTGCCTGGAGCTCTTACAGCATTGATTTATTCATTAAGAGATAAAACATTCAGTAACCCCAGTCATCTAAAACATGGTTATATTATTGGCCTTTAACTTCCAAATATGTTACATATTTTTAAAGAAAGCATAAGAAAAAGATAAGCAATGCAGCAGGAAATAAGTACACAGATGAGTTAGATTCAGTCCCCAGTTCAAAAAGCTTTCAATAGTATACATGGAAAGATAATTTCTCTCTCACACATACAACTTATCTAGAGCTTTTCCCCACTTTTTACCTGGTTAATTCAACTTATCCTTCCCACCTCAAATTAAACATCACATTCTTAGATGGAAGTTCCCTCAACCTCTGTATCAGATTTTCTTTACATTTTTTCATGGAACTCTGCATTTATCTTATACAGCACTCATTATATTTATAATTGCATTATACTGAGAAATATTTAGTATCTGTATCCTGACTAGGCAATAAACATAAAAAAGGATCAACATACCAGCAAAGTGTCCGGCACAGAGTATGAGCTCAATAAGTGTTATTGCATGTAGTAACTAATATGGAAAAGATGATGGTAGGGAAAAGGAGAGAGAAAAACGAAGTGTAATGGGAATGTAATGGAAAGGGAAGGCATTTAATATAGGAGCTTACAAAGGTTCTATGGAAAATTTCAGGTTTTCTTTAGAGGATGTGTATGATTGCTGAATGTGCAGCTGTATAGACACATCTAGAGGATGATACAGAAAAGATAGATTGGTGGAACACAAATGATCAGGGCCACAGTATCCATAGACATAGTAGACACTGTGCCCAGAACCCATGATAGTTTAAGGGGCCCACAGAATATCTTAAATTTTAATTTTTTGATGAAAAAATGAATATTATAGTAATATATAGTAATCCAATGTATGCCAATGTAAGCATAGAAAGTAATTTTTAATATATTTTTTTTATGGAGGAAGGGACCCAAAAAAGGCAGTAGTGCCCTGGGCTGATGATAATGAGAATATAGCCCTGGGGACAGTATTTGTTATACAGTAGTTAGGATTTGGCTAGAACCTAGAAAAGGAATAGAAGACTTAATGTTGAGAATGCAGGTTGGCCTCAGGTCAAAGAGAGTCCAAATGCCAGGCTGGGGAAGTTCATTAAACTTTGGTTTTTTTTCAGAGACTTTTTTGTCAACTTCTTGCTTACAGAGAGCTTTTGGAAGAGAATTCTTGCAGGAAGGAATAGGATGGATTGTGTTAGAAATAGGGTGATCAATCAAGGACCTTTTGCATTAGGTTAGGTGAGAGTTAAAGAGATTACAGTAGGAAGGGACAGAAGGGATGGAGATTACAGACATTCAGGTATATATATTTACCTTTGCATTTTAGATCATATGCTGAAAATCCCCTTTTCCCCATAGAAAATTCCCCAAATCATAATTATAAATTTGCATTCCCTCTGAGTATAAATTCCATGAGAGAAGGGACTATATCAACCTTACCTTTTGTATCCTCAGGGCATTGAAGATGGAGACACTCAAGAAAACAAGAGAGTTAGACTCCTGTCAAAGTGTTAAAACTGTTATAACTAGAACTAGATCCTGACCAACCCATCCTTATCATCAAAGCCAGTGCTCAAAGCCTGAGCATGTGACAAATGCCTTCCAATTGATTGATGGTTCAGTTAGAACAAAACAGCAACAACATATACATAAACCTTAAGTATAACTTACTTTAAAGTTAATTTTAAATGATTATTAATTTTTTGAAAATTGGGTAGTCTTAGCCTATGGTCTATAACTAAATATATATTTATAATCATAACTTGCACATTTATATGCTACATTAACTCATATACAGAGGAAGTTGTAATGACATAAAACCATGTAGTATGCATTGAGTACAGTTGTGTTGCATGTAGATTTGTTAGCATTCTAACTGGATAATTTGTATACTTAGGATGTAACAAGCCTTGTGCTAGATAGAAATACAAGTATCAGGGGGGGAAATCAGAGGGGGAGATGAACCGTGAGAGACTATGGACTCTGAAAAACAAACTGAGGGTTCTAGAGGGGAGGGGGGTGGGAGGATGGGTTAGCCTGGTGATGGGTATTGGGGAGGGCACGTTCTGCATGGAGCACTGGGTGCTATGCACAAACAATGAATCATGGAACACTACATCTAAAACTAATGATGTAATGTATGGTGATTAACATAACAATAAAAAATTAAAGAAAAAAGAAATACAAGTATCACATATAATGGCATATGTTGGGTGCTAACAGGTTAGGTTAGTAACAGGAAGGATAAGGCAAATCCTCACTAAGGAGAAGTGATGTTTGTATCAAGTCTTGAAAGAGTGAATGCTAGCCAGGTAGATCAAAGCAGAAAGGCATGTAAAATTTTAAAATTAGAGGAAATTACTCTTATACTTAAAAAGACTTTATTAATCTTTTGGAATATCAGTTTCTTTATCTGTGGCATGTGATAATCATCTTTTGTATCACTGTTCAGCTATTTTCAGTGTTTGTTCAGAATATGGAAAAGGAAAGGAGCATAAAGAGCAGCATGAGGTTATGAATACCATGATTTTGAAGAAGAGGGAAGATAGTGTGTAGTATTGATAGGTAAATTAGCTGCCTGTCTGTGTTTTAGAGATTTGTCTTTTTTGGGGACGGAGGAATAGACTAAGTGAATCTTCAGGAACTTCCAAACTCTGGCTTTTTGATTTGATAACTTAAGTATGAAGAATGTTAACATTGTTAAATCATTGTGATTACATTTAATGCTCTTAAAGAAACTAACATTTTATAGTATTGAGATTATACCATTCAGCCTATGAAAAATTCATTGTTCTATACCATAATATAAAAACTGAAAGGTATTAAAACATAGCCATTTAATTGGTAATTTTTAGGCTCCCATAAATTTTATTACCAATATTACTGAGTAAATTCAAGATAAAATTTTCGGTATTGAGCCTTATTGGCAATTTGAAAGCAGCCAAATTGTTCTCCTACTTTGTGTTGCAAAAATTCCAGAGCTATATTCAAAACGTTGTTATCAAGATAGGAAATGAATCTAAGTCGATGTTCCTCTTGAGGTTAAAGGTCTGTTTCTTTCAATCAGTTCAAATTGACAGGCCTCCTGCCATCACCTCCTCCTTAGCCAGGCAGACAGGCCCTGGCAGTCAGCGTGAAAACATCTGTTGAATGGATTTATTGGCTAGATCTTGTTTTTTCTCTCTCTTTTTCTATTTTTTTTTTCTTTTTCCCTTCACACCGTTTATTATGTCTCTGACCTGATGAACTTAATTTGTTTACACGTCGTTCTCAGTGTCTCCCTCAATGCTTGTCTCATGTTTCTTTCTACTGTGCTCTTTTCTTGGCAACAGCCCTTCCTGGAGCCCCAGCACACACGTGCGCTGTCAGTGCGCCAAGCTCAGCTGGCTGTGGTTGGCATGGATGGATTAGAGAAACATCGTCTTGTCTCCAGGACTCATTCCTCCCCTGCTGCCTCCATTTTACCTCATCCAGCAATGGACTGCCCCCTCCAGCCTGGCTCTGCAACTGGTAGGAATCCCTAAAGACTCCCTAATAGGCAGGCTAAATGCACCGTTCTTGTAGGATTAAGCGATTTAAATGCTCTGAATAACTCCAATAGCAGAACACTCTATTTTAACCCAGTGCAACCCAAATTTTATGAGGTTCTATTGGCTACAAGACAAGCAGCACATCTGATAAATCTTGGGCTTAGTATTAATAGCCTCATAAATTGTTATCATTCAGGGGCCTGGAAAACACATCAACAGGTGCATAGGTCCCTTTTGGAAACAAGATCCCTACAACATTCCTTAGCACTGTTCCTCAGTCTCTTCCTCCTAGTAGTCATGGCCTCTAGGAAATTTATGATTGGCTTCATTTGACTCTAACAAGTGCCTCTCCCCCAGTTTGTTTTTCATGTTTTGTTTGTTTCATTGTTTTCTTCTGACCTGCCATACAAATGACACCTGGGAGACAGTGGTGCCAAACTACATACGTTAGTTCCATTTCCATTTATTACGGCACCTCTGGGTGGGCTATTTGACCAACCTTTTCCTTTGCCTACAGCTGTGTTTGATATTTTAGAACCTGGTTACAGAGGAAAACAAACCAGATAATTCCAAGGCCAGAGGAAGGTCAAGTCTGGAACATACACAAAAAAGGGGTGCTATTCACTCTCCAAAGGAACTGTGCTGTAAATGTCCATGTGCATAAATACTCCTTTCTGTCTTCACAAGAATGGGGTCCAGAAGATATCCATGCTCTCAAACTTGTGGCTGATCAAATGAAAAATATCATAGCCCCAAGGGGCTCATAACTTGGATGCAGCAAGGGGAGTATTCATGTGCACCTTCTCTCAAAGGCGCTCACAGGTTATCTGATTTATTTTTGAATCAATTTTCAGGATTCAGAGTTTGTTTTTGTGGCTTTGGTGAACTCATGCAACCCTTTGTGCTTGGAAAAGTTAAAACACTTTTTCTAAAATCACATTCCCAAGCCTTGATGTCATCTTATTTAAAAATCAATGAATGGGGGCACCTGCCTGGCTCAGATGGTTAAGCGTCTACCTTCGGCTCAGGTCATGATCCCAGGGTCCTGGGATCGAGTCCCGTGTCGGGCTCCTTGTTCAGTGGGGATCCTGTTTCTCCCTCTGCCTGCCACTCTCCCTGCTTGTGCTCTCTCTATAATAAATAAATAAAATCTTAAAAAAAAAATAAAAATTTAAAAAATCAATGAATGGAATGGCCAAGTTACTTAACTTTGACAGACATCTTTAATAAGTATGCAAAGGAACTACTTTTTATAAGGTGTTATACCACAAGCCAACATTCCATCCTAGGAGTTACAGGCTGGGTATATTTGCATATATTTCTTGCACCACATTAGCCACTGCCTTGGATCCCTCTATTTCTTAGAGCATAGCAGACCTGCCCTGGTATCCCAGACAACCCAGGACTGCAGCCCAGTGTCAGCAGAAGCTGCTTGATTCAGTCATGCCTGGTTCTTTCCTTCGTCTTTAGAGAGTGTTTCCTCAAAACCAGATATATGATGTAGAGGAATACTTTTGGTAGTTTTCAGATCGGTAGCCTTCAAGAATTACATTCTTCTAAATTCTTTTTCCTGAAAGTATTTTTTATTTAGTCATAAGCTTTCAAAAGAGAACACAGAGCAATAATCATCCTGTCATAATGACAATTCCGCTCACTCAAAATTATTTCCTTAATTTTAAAGTGAACTTAATTATAAAGTTTAATGGTGCTGTCCCCATGTATGTTGCTGTCTGCTATTGAAATCCTATTGATTGAGTTTCTTTTCTTGGTTAAGAGGGGTGACCCTTTCCTGACGTGCTTTGGCCTTTCCTCTTCTTTTAGATGTTCCTTCAATATGAATAAAGCAAGTTCCCTGAATATTAGAATGATACTACAAGTTTAGGAAAACACTGTTGCCAGATGGACAGGGTTGGTAAGTCTTAGAAGAATCCAGGTGAAAGAGTAGACTATAACTGTAATAATATAAGCATGACAAACAACCTAATCATTCAGAACAAATACTGGGTCATTTCAGATCATTAGTTTCTTTCTTATAATGTCAGCATCCTAGTATTTATCAGAGTTTGTATTCCATACACAAGTAGGGAAATGAACTTGAGATTATTTTCATATTTAATGGACTTGATAGGGCACATTTCTTGCCTAGTGATTAAATAAACATATTTTTTTAAAAACAGAATTTTAGGGGCACTTGGGTGTCTCTGTTGGTTAAGTGGTTTTGCGTTTGACTCTTGATTTCTACTCTGGGGGTCATGAGATTGAGTCCGCCCCCCGACCTTGGGCGCATGGAATCTGCTTAAGATCCTCTCTTTCCCTCTCCCTCTACCCCCTCCCCTGCTCATGCGCATCTGTGTGATCGCTCTCTCTCTTAAAAAAAATGCACAGTATTTTAGTGTTTCTAATGATCTTGATTTCAGAGGTGAACTATTAAGACTGATTTGTAGTAAGTTTGAAAAGAAGTATCTTTAAGCATTAAATTCCTTTCTTTTGATTTTTTAACATCTATTTGTTGTAGATGCATTTAAAAAAATCGAAAGTGACATTCAAGTATGTTCCTTGGAAATATTTAGGTTTTTTTTCAAAAGGTTATACAATCTCACGCACTCAGTAGTTGTTCCACTAAAAAGTAAGGAGGAGAAAACAAATACATTGTAAAGGTGATTTGCTTAAACCCATCTTGTAAGAGCTGTACTTTTTGCCATAACTTAAAAAGTTATTTGTTAACTCACATACTTTTCAAGGCACACCTTTTCAAACTTGCACCTTCCATGTGGATTCTCAGCCACCAGATAGAGCAGCCACACCACCCCCTTTTTGAAAAGAACAAGTCAGTGTTTCCGGGGCAAAATGTTTGAATTCAGCCAGTTGTTGAAAGATGAAGTCTTCAGTCTGTTTCCTGTGAAGACTTGAATGGACCAAGAAATGGACTAATATGTAGACACTACCTGGTGGCTCTACAGAATGCCTGGTAAAGATATTTCTAAGATGGACAAAAAGAGCATATGCTCATGATGCTGCTAGTGATAATGAAGAATGTATTGCACAGCCAGGTTGCCACATATTCTTTTAAAGGGATTTTATGTTATATTGTAATGAGTAATAATACTTATTTTTTATAATATTCAATTTAAGAGGGGTTTTTGTTCTATTTAAAGCCAAGGCATATTGTTTATATGACTTCTGGCAATTAGGGAAAGGGCAGTGTATTTTGTTTTCTTTACCATTGCCATCTCTTCTGCTCAACTATTCTTTCTTTCTTTAATTTTTTTTAAAAGATTTTATTTATTTATTTGAGAGAGAGAGTGAGAGAGAGAAAGAGCACAAGAGGGGGGAGCGGGAGAGGGAGAAGCAGACTCCCTGCTGAGCAGGTAGGCCGATGTGGGACTCGATCCTGGGATTCCAGGATCATGACCTGAGCCGAAGGCAGTCGCTTAACCAACTGAGCCACCCAGGCGCCCCTGCTCAACTATTCTTAACAGAGATGAGGCTTGGCCATGACTCATAACAGGGCATTGACAGTATATGACATAGTTGTACCAAATGGGATTCACTAAAACAAAAATATAATGGCAAATGAATTTGGTTGAATTTTGGTTCCTATAGTAAATCATATTCAATGATCTAACTAGTAGGAATGATGTTCCCTTTACAGTTTCTGTAGCATATTCTCATAGGCCCTGGGTTATGTTTGTTTGTTTGTTTTTGCTCACTCATTCTTAAATGTAGAGAAATCTTTATAGATATTTGCCAGCAAGTGAGTGAATTCTGTTTGATTTTACTTTTTCCAACTTATATGCTGGTTGAATCTTCTCTTTGGCTATGTTGTGGAATGGCAGTACTAGTCCAATTCCTAGGTTTCAAGAGACTATCTCATAGTGTGAGTTGGAAGGCCTGGGGTGGGATTTCCTCCATCCATTTCTTTTTTAGCTGTCTGATACTCTGATAAGATGATTTACATAAAAAATTATAAGTCTTAGAAATTCTTTTTATCTACTCATAGACATAGTTTAGCAAATTTTAAACATTCACTTTTGGATATTTCATTTGTTTGATGGACAAATCAAGTTTCACAATTAATAATTACACTATCTGGTACTTTGATTTAAATGTACCTGTTAAAAGGTAATGTAACAAGTATTACAGATGTTAGAATGTAAAGAATACAGTAGATATAGAACAAAAAAGCCAGATAAGCTTTATGGATAGACGAGAATTATGAATAGAAATTATAATAGCTGCTATAGGTATGAAGTGGAAGTTATTAGGAATGACCCTTGCTTCAAGATAGCACTTATTATCCATTTTAGTAATTCTACCCATTTCAGGTCTTTTAAAAAAATTTTAAAAAATATTTTTAAGAGGTTATCTCTGACCTCCTAACCCCATACATTTTTTCTTCCTTACTGTACAGAGTTTTTTAAAAAAATGTCATATAACTATATTTATACATGCCTCATCTTTACTACTAGATCATGAATTAAATGTAATAAAGTGAAATTGTTGGCACCCCAAAATTCCGAGTGGTCGAAGCAAGATGGGTCAAAGTCAGAGTGGTGGTCAACCCTGGAGGTGGCAAGAAAGATGACAAAGACAAGAAAAAAGAAATCTGAATCTCCTGTACCAACTAAAGTGGGAGAAAAGAAGAAGAAAACAAAGGGACCAGATGCTGTCAGCAAGCTGGCACTGGTGACACCTCACACTCAGTGCCAGTTAAAATTGTTGAAGTTAGAATTAAAGATACCTTCTCATGGAGGAAGAATTCATTAGAAATCAAGAACAAATGAAGCCTTTAGAAGAAGAGCAAGAGGAGGAAAGATCTGAGAGGGACCCTCATGTCAGTAGGAACCTTGGAAGAGAACATTGGTGACAATAATGCCATCATGTCTACATCTGTGGGCTCAGAACACTACATCAGCATTCTTTCCTTTGTAAAAGACAGAATCTGCTGGAACCAGGCTGCTCAGTCATACTCAGCCACTA